AGCTTGCAAATTCATTATTGATCCTTAAAACCCTGAAGAAAAAGGAAAAAATATATATATGGGAGATTGTTCAAAAAAGAACTCTCAAAAACAGTCATTCTATAATCAAATAAAATATCCATGAAACAGTTGGGCGGGGGGGGGGGGGAGTCAGTCCATTACAAAGAACTAGATCCAAGCCAAAAATTTCTCAGAAGACAAGAGAAATCCCACCCCCTCACTCCAGAAAAAGTCCACTTTGCAGAATTTTTTGCTGAATATTCTCCACCATTTTGGGTGACAGCCCCTATTTTTCCTCTACGATGCCGTACAATGCTGAAGAATGCAAAATGGAGGTCCCGTTGTCCAAACTTGCTGCTAAAGCAGCTCCCCACCTCCCAAAAAATGGGAAAAAAAAGAAGGAGCTGTACTATTGATACTGCTGAGGAACTGTTGGATTCAACTGCTTCTCCCTGATGAAATTCAGTGTAACAGCGTCCCAAATTCTCTGGCCGCAATAAAAAGGCTAAAGAATTTCAAGAACTGTTTTGCATGCAGAACTGTAACAAAACAAAACAAAACCCACCCTGGTTGTTTTCATAAGCATCCCCAAAGACAATGTTTGGCAGACTCCCTTCAGGAAGCTGTTTCACGAGAACGTTGCCGTGACAGAGACAGAGCAGTTCTGGGTCACCATCTTCAGTCCAATTTCCAGAAGTAACTCGTGCTGTAATAAATGTGCCAGTCTTTTAAGGAAGCAGTTAGCCTTTTTGTTTCCTCTGGAAGCAATGGCAAAGCTCCACCAGGAGATCAAGATGTTAACACTTCTTGCAGACATTCAACAACTTTGGTGGTGGTGGTGGTGTGGTTTTAAAAAGGCTTCTCCCACCCAACCCGCCATATTTGTTTGAAACTGAACTTCAAAGACTAGGTAGTGGGCAAATGTAAATATATGCAAACTGATCAATAGTTTGCACTGCCTACAGCTCATTCACCTGAAGAAACAAAACAATTTGTAAAGGTGGTTTCCATTTAGACATCTTTTTTGCATCTTACTAGAACTGGTCACCATATCTGTGGCCAGGAAAAGACTTGGTGTTACCAACCTCTTAACACTGGTTATGAAATAGGGAGCAGACACCCCTTCCCGCCTCTTCTACAAGGCACAGATCTCCCTCTTTTTGTCCACTATAAGCCACTGTTTAGTGTTACTCTGCATCTGCACTAACCAGGGGGAATCTTGGTTACCATTAGCCTCTTAACTCATTTAAACTCTTGGTGTTAAATCTGGGTTTGCAAACCCAGCTTAGCATGAACCCTAGTTAATGTCATTGCAGATCCAATGCTAAGCCACATTTAAAAGCCACTGGTGGAGAAGGTGAGGATTTGGAGAGGAATCGTGAGCAAACAGTTCACTAAGAGATCTTAAGTGGGATCATATTTAAAAGTTCTGAAGAATTATTATTTTAATATCATATGCTTTCAAGTAGCAGCTTCTGTACCAGACCTTTCGATCATACCCTTCCCCACTACACACTGCCTATTAGAAAAATATCCTTCAGTAATGCCAGTAGCTTCTTTTTCTCAAGGCCAGAACCATAGCTAGGTGATTTTGTACCCATGGCAGAACCATCCAGATTGCACCCCCTAGCCATGGACAAATTAGCTCTTCTTTCCGCCTCTCTTCAAACCCCTGCCCTCCATCCATTCGACTCACCCTCTATTAAAAACCATTTCTTATGAGGCAATAAGCGATATTTATGGACATATTTTTAAGCCGATTTTGTGGAAGGCCCCCCCAATCGCCTGCGCCGCTGGTGGGGGCCCATCTCACCACCCCTTAGCTACAGCCCTGCTCAAGACACCAAGTACTTGCCTGCAGTCATTTTTGCAGTGCTGAGAAACACAAAACAAAAGCTGGGGGCAGAAACATTCTTGACCCTTCAATGAGACCATGTATCAAATGCTCACTCTGTCTCACACATTTGAATGACCCACACATTTTGATCCCAAAGTCATCAAGAAGCACACTCTCAATAAGAGGAAGCCAATACTCTTTAGCTTGGTTCAGGTGCACATTTCTTGGCTGACTAACCCTCTAACTATTTGGAATTTAAGATCCTGACTTGTTGTGATCCTAGTAACCACAGTTTCCTGGTTGGGATGTAACAACAAACAATGGTTAATCTAAGCATTCCTAGATTTAGTTGCATCATAATAGCCCCCCCCTTGGGTGTTCTCCATGTGACACACTCTCAACAAGGCCTCCTCTGATTGTCTTAGAAGCAGAAAGACGTACGAGAGATAAGAAAATCCCAAAGGTATGCAGGTTCCAGACCATATAGACCATAAACATAATAGCCAGCAGGCTAAAAATTGTGCATGATAGCAAAATTTACAAGTACTTTCCACACAATCCCATCGTGCTGTGGAAACAGAGCTAAGAGGCATAGCCTTGAACTTTTGTCACCCAACTGAAAGCCACCATTTGTGGAACAGTGACAGATTATGGAAACCACTCTCTGGCTCTCCCCTATGGCACTATCTGTGAGGAATTGGTTACTGAACAAAAAGCAGTGTTCACTGTGTGACCATCCTATGGCACTGGGACCCCACAAATGTGCAGTCATTCGCTTGACTTCAGGTCTCAATGTCCTCTCCACATCAACTGCTAAGAGCTTGGCGCATGGATGTAAAGATTCAGTGTAAGCGAGGAAAATGAGGATTGCTGCAGGGAACCCATCTTCAGTGGTGCTCCTGTCATTACACCAATACAGGATTTGGCCCTTGGCTAGCTTCCAGTCTAGAACTACAACAGGTCCTCCTTCCAAGCCACCACAGATTGAAGGTGTGATCCCTGTATGGGACAGCTGCATATTCAGGTTGGACGAGATGATCCTCAGGCTCTCGTCCAACTCTGTAATTCTATGGCTCTGAGAGTACCACTCCACACCTACAATGTTTCACCCCTGTTCAAGGAAATAGGCTCTGTTTTTATTCAGAAATAAATTTAGTCTGCCAACTAACAAGAGGAATTTAAAATCAGAGCTGCTAACTGTGAAGTAACTGGAATGCTTGGTGACTCAATGGGAAGTACAAGGCAGGGAGCGGTTGTGTCTGAAGCATCAGCATATCAGTACCAGATGAGACTTTGCCTTGCCTAGCAAATCCACAGGCAGGGCCACTCCCAAGAGTTGCGAGGTTTTATCATTTTGTGTCCAGGCAAAACTTTTCTGGGCAGTGCCACCTTTCTCACTTTGCACAGAACACCCAAGAAATTCAGGTGACCCACAGTCCCATTTTCCGGTCTCCCAAGGATACCCTGTCCAGAAAGGGTACCTTTTCCAAGGACCCAGTGTATTCACAGGAACAACCAAACTGGGTGAGCACAGTGTGGAAGAAGATAGCTTTCTATGTGCAAGAAGTTATTCTCTGTAAGTCTGCAAGTTTCCCTTTATAAATCCCTAATCCCCTCAAGAGAGTTACAACTCGAAGAGTGGTTTAACACTGAATCCCTCTTCCCAGGGAACTCTGCAAATTGTAGCTCTTTAAAGGGAATAGGGGCAACTCTCAGCACCTTTAACAAACTACACTCCCCCATTCATTGGGTGAACCCATGTCTGTTAAAGTGATATGATCCTTCTTTAAATGTAAAGTTCAGACAGGGCCCAAAAAGCTAACCAGCCTAGTAGCCAATTCTTCCTTCACCACGGACAACAGGGCAGCATCCTCTACTGCACAGGAGGGCAGGCCACATGAAACGCACACTTTTTCTTTCCATCCTGCCAATGTAAACCACCCTGCCTAACAGTAGGGCCGGCATGCAGTTAGCTGAAGGCAGATAATAAATTCAGCAGTAGGAGTTATTCAGCTGGATGGTTTAGTTTTGAGCCTACTAAGTTTCCATCATCCTATGAACAACAACAAAAATGTTAGCACATTTGCAAAGCTAAGCAGTACGGTTTCAAACTGAGTGGAGGACCACATTTTGAGATTCCTGCTTTCCAGGGGGTTAGACTAAATGACCCTTTCCAAGTCTACAATTATATGATTCTATGAACCCCCATTTATCGGATGCAAAATGTCTCACCACTAGTATACTGTTAGTTTACTACTAGTTTTATCAGGAAAAAATATAGTGTCGCTTATCTAAACTTTTCACCTGAAAGCAAGCAACTAAGTAGTTCAGAAAGCCAAAGGGATGAGACAGGGTGTGGCAAATAAGTCATAATTTTCCTGTCAAATGAGCTACGCAAACACTCAATGGGAAGCCAGGAAATTGCTCTCAGGAAAAGGTTCAGCAGTTTTCATGGGAGGAGGGGGAATACCTCTCAAAACAAGTTAAAGCTCCGCTTCCCCTAGTCTGCCGATTTAAATATTTCAAAGGAGGGAAACTTTAAAAACACACACACACTCATCTGCCTTCCCCAATGGAGAATGAAAGAAACAAACCTCTGATAAATAGGATAGTTTATTAATATGTCAGGGAAAAGATGTGTACGTTCAACAGGAAAAGCACTTTGCTCATCAACCCTTGAGTTTCAGTCTTGTTTTTAATAACAGGAGCAGCCATGTGAAACTAAGGGGCCGATTGTTTTTAGATGCTTTCACCCGAAATCGAATTAAATAAAGGTGGGGAAGAGAAACAACCCACCTCCCAAAACCGATACAACAATACGCAAAATTCTGGTTTTGGTTGCTTTCGGAAGTCGAAAGCGGAAAACTCTCTGCCCAAGCTGAACTTGCTATGGGCCTTCTGAAAGCCCTCCCCGTTTCCTGAAAGGCCCTGCAGCTCACCAAAGGGGGGATATATGTAAATATATATATTTGTCCACGTTCTGTGAGCAACTCGATGCCAGTGGGCAAGGCTCGCGCAAGAGGAGGCTTGGAGCGGAGAACAACAAAGCGAAAGACAACAGGGTCGAGAGAGAAAACCAGCAGTTAAAGTTCTAGCAACAACAACCGGGTCGGGCAGCGGAGGCGAGCGCGAAGCTCAGGAGCGCACAGGAAACCAAACTTACCAAGTAGCAGGGAGCCTGGCAAGTTTCCACCAAGTTGTGGGGGGAGAACCCCGAAGTGCCTTCGAGGAAGAGACAAATTCAGCTCCTTTCGTGCTTTAAGCGTTCCATGAGTCCGCCTAAACGCCGCCCAAGGAAAGCGAGCTTGGAGAGGAGCGAGGTGGGCGTCGGGGCTGCCCTCGTTGCGCGCTGCCTCTGTTCTTGGGCAGGACAGGAAATCTCATGCGCAAAGCTCGCCTGGCCACGCCTGTTTTACAACCCGGCGCGCCCTCCCCCACCGGCGTTTCTTTCCTTTCTTTCTCTCTCTCTCTTTCCCTCCCTTCCCTAGTAAAAGGGAAGTGCGAGGCTGGGGACAGCGAGCTCCCTCTCCCTTCCTGCGCGCGGCATAACATCCGTCGAGCCGCGCCGCGTTTTGGGGAGCCTGGTCGCAGCCTTGCGCGGAGAAGCGCCCTGAGAGCAAGGCGTCGCGCGTCCCTCGTTCTGCAGAGATGGGGGGGTCAGGGGTGCCAATTTGAATAAAATATTGAGGGGGCAGGTAAGCCCCGCCCAGCATAATCGATCACATGATGCTGCATATTCACACTATTTGATTGGCAATGTTCGTCAACTGGGGAGGGAGGAACCCCGTTAAATATTTTTTTGGGGTGCAAAGACCCCTCGACCCCTAGGAGTTAGTTTCTATGGTGGGGGTGTATAAACAAATGCATGGCCAGGCATTATTAGATCAACCTTGGGGGGCCAGGTTTTGTAGGACTACAAGTCCCTTCATCCCTGACCACTGGTCCCCCTGCTTGCTAGGGTTGATGAGCGTTGTAGTCCCATAACATCTGGGGAGCCAAGGTTGACAAAGGTTGAGCTAAGAGTATCATCGTCTGGCAGGGTCAGAGATTTCTAAGTCCTCTCCGTGCCCAGTTCATGGTGGCATAATTTAAGAAGGATATTGACTAGTTGGGATGTGTGCAGAGGGGAGCGACCAAGATGATCAAGGATCTGGAAACAAAGCCTTATGAGGAATGGTTGAAGGAGCTGGGTAAGTCATGCCTGGAAAAGAGTGGCTGAGAGGAGATATGACAGCTATCTTCAAATACAGTGGTACCTCGGGTTACATACACTTCAGGTTACATACGCTTCAGGTTACAGACTCCGCTAACCCAGAAATAATACCTCGGGTTAAGAACTTTGCTTCAAGATGAGAACAGAAATCGCACGGCAGCAGCGGGAGGCCCCATTAGCTAAAGTGGTGCTTCAGGTTAAGAACAGTTTCAGGTTAAGACCGGACCTCCGGAACAAATTAAGTACATAACCAGAGGTACCACTGTATCTAAAGGCCTGTCACATGGAAGATGGCGCAACCATGTTTTCTCCTGCTCTGGAGATTAGCACCCAAACCAATGGATCCAAGTTACAAGAAAGGGGATTCTGACTAAGCTTCAGGAAGAACTTTCTGACTGTGGAACAGACTCCCTTTGAAGGTGGTGGACTCTGCCTTAATGCATCTCTATCCCACCCTCAGGGACACGGGTGGCGCTGTGGGTAAAAACCTCAGCGCCTAGGACTTGTTGATCGCATGGTCGGAGGTTCAAATCCCCACGGCAGGGTGCGCTCCTGTCGTTCGGTCCCAGTGCCTGCCAACCTAGCAGTTTGAAAGCACCCTGGGTGCAAGTAGATAAATAGGGACCGCTTACCAGCGGGAAGGTAAACGGCGTTTCCGTGTGCTGCGCTGGCTCACCAGATGCAGCTTTGTCACGCTGGCCACGTGACCTGGAAGTGTCCTCGGACAGCGCTGGCCCCCGGCCTCTTAAGTGAGATGGGCGCACAACCCTAGAGTCTGGCAAGACTGGCCCGTACGGGCAGGGGTACCTTTACCTTTACCTTTATCCCACCCTCAAAGAGCTCAGGGTACCACTCATCATTCTCCCCTTCTTTTTATCCTCACAACAACCCAGCGAGGTAGGTTTGCATGCAGAAGGTCCCAGATTCAGTTCCCAGCAACTTTAGGTGAGGCTGGGAATGTCAAGTGAGTATTGCATATGGATGCAATTAAAGACATTCCTATAGAATAACTCAATCCATAACTATGAGCCGTGGGAACTCACAAGCCCAGAGGCAGCATATCACTGAATACCTGTGTCGAGGGCAGAGAACAGGGGATAGAGCTGTCACATTAATTCCCTGTTTGCCCTTCTCAAGGGTCCAGAAGAGCCCAGGCCACTTCCAGCTTTTGCATGCCTAGCCATGATTTAAATTTAAAAATGACAGCACACTGAAACAAAATAAGGTGCCGAAAAGAGAGAGAGTGGTTTGTTTATGATAAAATCAGCTGATCTGAGAGCATGTCTTCACCATGGTCTAATAGCTATATTTCCTCCTATATACATAAAAAGTTAAGGCTGTCACCATGCATCAGAACATTTGTCTCAGCGCAATCTTGGATTTTCATGAAGTCAGCATGGGCAAGAGAAGCAAAAGAGAAGGCAAGTTTCAAAATGGTGGTTTTAAATAAGAGCAGGGGTTTGAATAAACCAGGGGGGTGGGACACAGAAGAGCTGTGAGAATATGGGGAGCTTGAAGGGGCTGTGAGTGGATAGGGATTGGGGGGAGTGGTGTGGCAAGTGGTGAATTAGTGAGCAGCACAAGCAGGGGCGGTGGCCTCTAGTTATTATTAAAGTTTTTAAGTCTGATATGACAAAATCTATACTGGTTAACAAAAACCATGTCTTTTACCCAGTGCTTTTTTCCAGGGGAACGCAGGGGTCCGCATACCCCTAAACATTTTGTGAATCTTTGAACTTTTGTCCATTTACTGTATTTATTTCCCCCGATTTGAACTGTAAAATGGTGATTTTCTTGAGTCAAAAGGAGAGTACCCCTAAACATTTTTTTTAGAAAAAAAGCACTGCTTTTACCAAATCAGTTCCTCATTTGCTTTAACTTGTGCTCTAAGCTGAGAGTATGTCACATTTTGCTCTGATAACCCAGGTGGGGACTTGGGTAATATGGCGCCCTGAGCGAGGACAACCTTTGGTGCCGCACCCCAAATGCATCTTATTTTCGCAATAATTCATTTTGGTACAGTTGCTTTTTTATCAGAAGGCACCTGTATACATATAGGTGTTGTATTATTAATGTTGTTGCTGCTGCTGTTATTTTGTTCCCCCTCAACTCAGCACCGGGGGGGGGGGGGGTCATTCGCACTGCCCTAAATCTGAATAAGCATAAAAAGAAGTTGTGAGACTTATCAAATGCCAAAAAATTAACAAGTGTCTAAATTCAAGGCCCCATTGGAGTTTGAGGCATCTCACTGACCTGTCTTTGCTAGCTTTCTGGAGTCATTTATAGCTGGCTGCTGTTGCTGGCAGAATGTGGGCACCTTCGATCTGACTCAGCAGGGCCCTTCCTGTCTTCGTGACTTGCAGCTGGTCCTGACGAGAGAAGCAGGCATGTCTGGACTAGAATGAGGCAATCTTTTCCTGTCTGCTGCACCCTTTTCTGCTTATCACTTGGCTCCCACACAGCTGGTGCTGCCCCAGTTCTTATTTCATTGACCACAGACTGGAAGCGCAAGGGCACGAACCCTGCACTGACCTGGTGACCGAGAGCTTGTGGCTGCAGGGTGGGGTCCGCGCATTTATTTCCCCACCTCTCCCCATACTTCTTTCTTCTTTGGTAATCACTCGTAGCTGAGTAAGATTGTCTTCCATAAACACGGTTTTAACAATGAGTCCGTAAGTTACTGTGGGGGGCAATTCTATATCCACACGTCCTTCCACAGTGGGGACATTAGTTTCCGGGCAGGAGTTGATCACGGTGTGGATTTGCCAAGCGTGCCTTCCTCAAGTGTCTTCAAAGCCCATGACACCTTTGGTAAAGGCTGTTCTCCAATTGGAGCGCTCACAGGCAAGTGTTTCCCACTTGTTGGTGTTTATACTACTTTTTTTATATAGATCTGCCTTGAGACATTGTTTAAACCTCTTTTGTTGACCACCAGCATTACACTTTCCATTTTTAAGTTTGGAATAGAGTAGTTGCTTTGGAAGACGATAATCAGGCATCCGCACAACATGACCAGTCCAACGAAGCTGATGTTGAGCAATCATTGCTTCAACACTGGTGATTTTTGCTTCTTCCAGTACACTGGTATTAGTTCGCCTGTCTTCCCAAGTGAGGTGTAAAAATTATTGGTGACGCTGTTGATGGAATCTTTTGAGGAGTTGGAGATGGCATTTTTAAGTGGTCCATGTTGCACAAGCATACAGTAAGGTTGGCGGTACAATAGCTTTGTAAAAAAGCATTTTGGTTTCCCTGTGAATGTCCCGGTCCTCAAACATTCTGCGCTTCATTCGGGAGAAAGCCACACTCGCAGAGCTCAAGCGGTGCTGGATTTTGGCATCAATGTCAGCCCTTGTGGAAAGATAACTGCCCAGGTAGAAGAAGTACTGTAATCAACATTTTCCAATGTGACACCATTAAGTTGGATTTCTGGCGCTGCAGAGGGGTTATTTTGTACTTGTTGGCAGCAATTTGGTTTTTTGGATGTTGAGCAATAGGCCAAGCTTTTCGTGAGCTTCTGCGAAGATATTTAGGATGGTTTGGAGGTCATCCTCTGAGCATGCACACACTACGTTGCCATCAGCATACTGAAGCGCTATGACGGAAGCTACAGTAACCTTATTCTTTGCTCTCCCCGTACACCCAGGTACTGTAGCATAGACAAATGCCACAAGCCACACTAAGAGGTTAAAACAGCATAGGAAGGTTGGGTGGAAAGGATAAAACATGGCTGTGCTCCAAAGGAAGGGCTGTAGCTCAGCAAAAGAACATTGTCCTGCATGCAGAGTTAATCCTTGGCATCTCCAAGTAGCATAGCTGTCAATTTACAGATTTTAAAATAAGGGGCAAGCAGCCTTGAAAATAAGGGACCAGCAGCCAAAATAAGGGACCTGCAGCCTCACCTGTTCCAGGCACTCCAGTCTTCCTGTCCTCCTGCAGTCTGGTCAAACTCATGCTGGTAGCTTCAAGAACACTGTCCAACCAACTTTGTAACCAGAGGTTCAACTGAATAGAATCTGAATCACATGCACCACAAGGCCTATGCAGCCTCAACTTAAGATGGCTCCCTGGCCTGGCTTTGCACTGCAAAGTTTGCAGCAGCACGTGCAACAAAATGGCGTCCAGCATTCAAAACCCCCCTCAGCTTGCATTAACTAGCC